AATGAGATGCGTTTCTATATACTAACAATGAACTATTTGAAAAGACAATTAGGAAAACAGTCCCATTTACAAGTGCACCAAAAAGTATAAAATACTTAGGAATAGACTTAATGAAGGATGTGATAGACTGGTATATGAAAATTATAGAACATTAATGAAAGAAGACGCAAATGAAAAGCCATCTCGGGTTCATGGATTGCAATACTTCATACTGTTAAAATGTCCATACTACCCAATGCAATCTATCAAATCAGTGCAATCCCTATCAAAATTTCAACAGACAGAAATAGAAAAACAATTCTAAAATTCATATGGAACCAAAAAAGACCACAAAGAGCCAAATTAATCTTGAGAGAGAACAAAGTTGGAGTCATCACACTTCCTGATTTCAAAATCTATCACAAAGTCGTTTTTTTCCCTTTCCGTTCAGCATCTTTGAAGATGCCATAACTTCTGTTCAAACGTTAACAAAATCGTTTTTAAAATTGAAGAAACTGTGCCCTGAAACGATTGTGGTTTTCCCTTTGGTTATTTTTAATTTTTTTTCCTCTTTGTATTTGGCTTTTGGTAGTGTGACAATGATGTACCTAGGTGTGGTTGTCCTTATACTTATCCTCATTTGGGGTACTCTGAGCTCCTTGAATCTCTGGGTTGATGTCTTCCATCAATTTGCAAAAATTTTTGGCCATCATGTCTTTAAATATTGCCTTTTCTCCATTCTGTCTCACCTTTCTCTTTGGGGCTGCAATTGCATGTATGTTAGACCATTTGTCTTCCTCACATATCTTACACTCCTTTCTGGTCTTTTCATTCTTTTTTCTATTGAAATCTCTTCCAGTTCACTAATCTAATCCGCTTCACTAATCTTTCCTGGTCCTTTGTTGACTCTATTTAATGAGTTCTTCAGACATTGTATTTTTCAGTTCCAGAATGTCCACTTGGTTTTTTAAAAAGAGATCCTAATTGTTGAAATTCTCCATCTTTTCATCTATCTTCTTCATCAATTTCCCTATTTTCTTTAACGTATTAATGGTAATTTTAAAGTCCGTCTCTGAATAATCTGTGTCTCTCTTTCTATTGCCTGTTTGATATTTTGGCTTCAGGTCATTCAGTTTTTTTTTTTTTTTTTTTTTTTTGAGACGGAGTCTTGCTCTGTCACCCAGGTGAAGTGCAGTGGCGCGATCTCCGCTCACTGCAAGCTCCACCGCCTCCCGGGTTCACGCCATTCTCCTGCCTTAGCCTCCCGAGAAGCTGGGACTACAGGTGCCCGCCACCACGCCTGGCTAATTTTTTTGTATTTTTAGTAAAGACGGGGTTTCACCATGTTTGCCAGGATGGTCTCGATCTCCTGACCTTGTGATCCGCCCGCCTCGGCCTCCCAAAGTGCTGGAATTACAGGCGTGAACCACCGTGCCTGGCCCAGTTTTTTTTTTTAAAGCATGTCTCATAATTTGGGATTGGATGCTGTATACCATAGAGGGTTTTTTGTTTGTTTGTTTGTTTGTTTGTTTGTTTTTTGGTGGGGTGGGTAAATTGTAGAGGGTTAGAATAATGCTATCATCCTCCAAGGAGGGTTATTTCCTGCTAGAAAACAGGGCTGATCTATTCCAGTTTTGTCCTTATTCCTAGAATGTAACCCATTCCTGGGATGTAGTCCTTATTTCTAGGGCCCGATCTTATGCCCAGAGTGTAGCCCTCATCGGGTCCAGGGTGTTTTCTGAGATCCCTCCACCTTGTTGGGTCATGGTCCTTTCCCCCCAGGTCCATGTGGCTGACAAAACCTCTGCTTGATTCTTTAGCAGTTGCTGTTTCCTCCTGGTTGTTTTTGTTTGCCTGTTTTGAGTCTCTCTCTACTTTTATGTAACTTAGGTATCAGCCAGTTATTTGAGGAAGATTTTTATCCAGATTATTAGGCTCCTTATTTTTGTTTCCTTCCTTTTCTGGATTTCCCTCCTCACTTCCCAGCCACTTTGGCAGTCCTGAACTCTGACCTCTCTTTCCTTAGCCCTATCGCTTGAGATGTATTACCCTAATACACAATTTGAAATTTTCCTGAGTGGAAAACACCAGGATGATTGTGGAGCTCACCTCGTGTCTTTTCCCTCTCCAAAGATCATGGCCTTTTAAGTCCTGTCTGTGTTGGTTGTACTCAGTGCCTTCAAATAGGTGCTTTAGATGCCCATTGCTATTGGAATTCCCAGCCTTCAGAACTGTGAGAAATGTATTTCTTTTCTTTATAAATTACACAGTCTGTGGCATTCTGATATAGCAACACAATATGGATTGTGACAGATGGCCAACAGGCATCTCAGATTTAATTCATCCAGGAAAAAAAAAAATCCTGACCCCCCACCCTCCCACCCTGACCCCCAAACCATGGTCTGCAGTCTTCTCCATCTCTATAAATTCCTCTTTACTTGTCTCTTTGTAAACCCCATTTTCATTCTGTCAGAATGTCTTATAGGTTCTGCCTTCCAAATGCATTTGGTATCTGACCATAACTCCCCTCGCTGTAGCTCCCTTGATCCAAGCCCCGTTCCTCTTTCCTGGATGGTGGGAGGAGCTTCCCTGGATATCTCTGCTTCTGCAGCTGTGTGGCATTTAAAGTGTGAATTATACTAAAAGCTTTCTCACTCAGAGTCAAATTCAAAGTCTCTCTGTGACTGTTGACCACGGTGCCATGATGCTGACCTTCCAGCCCCACCTTCTATCCTCCAGCCAGTCCAGCCTCACTGTCTTCTTCCTCACACTCCAAGTCTCCCCATCCCCATGCATCACAGCTTCAGGGTTACTATCCCACTGAGTTCTTCTCCATCCATGCTGGGAGCCTCCTGTCCCCCTGTCTGAGATGTTTCATGACTTGCTCATTTTCTAGGTTATTGTTTTTCTCTGTCCATGAAACCATAAACACCCTGAAGGCAAGATTCCATTATTTTGTTTCTTTCCAGTTTGAATCCACAGAATCAAGAACAATGACTCATAGGTGAGCAGTAGATATTTGCTGATTATATAAAGGAAGATGGGAAGAAAAGGAACAAGAGAGAGAGGGAGATGATCTTTAAAAGGAAAAGAGTGGAATAAACATAAGTGAAAACACAATCTTCAGTTGCCAAGAGAGCTTGAAATTAAGTCCTGGGCAACTGTCTGTTTCTGAGCATTGAGGAGGCCTGTGGCTTCACCAAGAAAAGGTTGTGCCGCACAAGTCTCATTCCTTTTTTTGTTAGGGAATACTGACGGAGAGCTCAGAACACTGTGGATATCATGGAAATGGCACCGACAGGGAGAGCTCAGAACACTGTGGATATCATGGAAATGGCACCGACAGGGAGAGCTCAGAACACTGTGGATATCATGGAAATGGCACCGACAGCAAGAGCTTAAAACACCCTAGATATCATGGAAATGGACTTCAGAAAGGCTTTTGTGTGTTGTTTTTCAGCCAAGTCAAGAAGTGAAATGCATCCACATCTGGCTGCATGCTTGTAATTAGAATCTGACTTTCTAATTCATCTCAATGTGCCTGGAAGTCTTAGAACCACAGTTCATCCTGCAATTTGTTCAGTTCTGATTAAAAGCACTCACTCCACATGTGCCAGGCACCGCAATAGGCTTTGGGGATACAAAGGTCAGTAGAAGAGTTCATGCCCTCAAAGAGCTCATTCAGTCCTAATACACCTTCAAGCCAGAAGCGTCCCTGCTGACACAGAGCAAAATGACCACTTTTATGAGCGACATGAAACTGGAAAGGGGACCCAGGTGTCCTCTTGTCCCCATCCCCGTCCCCCCAGCACAGGGCCTGTGTCCCAGCGGCCTGCTGGTAGACCACAGCAGCCAAGGGAAAAGGCCAGTCCCGACTCTTCCCCCGGCCAGCTTCGAACCACTCAATCTGTGGGAATTGTGGCCCATTTTGAGGGCATCATATTTGGACTATGACTTACTTGTGGTTGTTTGTTTAATTGGTTTTGATGAGTTTGGTTTGCTTTTCTCTCCTCGTACTATTTGCCCATTTTCTGTCCTCGGTTTTTCCATGTCTGAGTAATAATCCTCTGTTGTCTTATGCGCATCCCCCACTTTTGCCAGAGCCTTCCACCCTCCTGCCTCAGTCTCCACAGCCTGCTCCCTCGGCCTCCTCTGGGCTGGCTGTCCTGGGTCAGTGGTGAGTTCTTCTTCCTTGGGTTACGTGCTTTGCGGCTTCTTTGCTGAATGCAGCCAGGGGCAGGGGGAGGGGCAGGGCCAGGGAGCTCGCCTGAACTGCCCTACAGTCTCCAGCTCTCAGCTCTTAGCTTGGCCCAAACGAGATGCTTTCACGCATGCATGTTACAAAGTGGAGTGAAACCACTCACTTGGCAACTAAGGAGAGTTAGCCTGGAAAGAGAAATCTGGGACGAATGGAATCTCTGACTTCAGTTATGATGGACTTTCAGGTGAAAAAAATGTGGATTTATTTTGAGTGGACCCAGATGGCAGAACGAGGATGATTGGATACAGTTGTGGAGATATAGTTCCTGCACTGTGGACAGCTGTGGGCTGTGCTCCCCGGCAAGGAAAAGGTGAGCAGCCACCCCAGAGCGCCAGTGCAGAGGCTCCCTTGGCACTTGGGTGTGGGGCAGGCGTGGGCTCCTCCACCGCAGGGCAGTGGGTGCAGAAGCACCAGACCCACAGGATGGCTACCAGGACCAGAATCTGTAACTCTTGGACTTTAAGGTCATACCGTTCTCTTTTAAAGAAAAGTTAAAACTCAGGCTTGATTTTTTTTTTTTTTTTTTTTTGAGACAGAGTCTCGTTCTGTCACTCAGGCTGGAGTGCAGTGATGCGATCTCGGCTCACTACAACCTCTGCCTCCTGGGTTCAAGTGATTCTCCTGCCTCAGCCTCCCAAGTAGCCAGGACTACAGGTGCCCACCACTACATCTGGCTAATTTTTTTTTTTTTTGTATTTTGAGTAGAGACGGGGTTTCACCATCTTGGTCAGGCTGGTCTTTAACCCCTGACCTCAAGTTATGACCTGCCTCGGCCTCCCAAACTGCTGGGATTACAGGTGTGACCACCATGCCTGACCCTGATGCACTTTCAAAGTTTTCCGTAACCGTGAGTTTTAAGTAGCTGAGCTCTAAACCTAAATAATTGCCCAAGGGTGATGGTTAAGGAGACCGCAGAGTGGGAAGAACAGAGAGGAGAGAGGCTTGGGAAGACCAGGTGAGGAGGAGCAGTCAGAGTCAGGGAAGAGCCCTGGCAGGAACTGAGGAGGAAGAGTGGACAGCAGCATCCGAGGGAAGGAGGACTCCAGAGGCTCCTGACTTGGGCGAGGGAGCCAGCCACCATGGGCCCAGGGCTTCCAGCCAGATGGGACCGCTGTCACAGGATCCTTGGGGTGTCACATTTCTAGCTGGAAACCTCTGTGGCTGGTAGCACCCTTGCCCAAGTTTTGCTTGGGCCCACTGGACTTGTTCTGCCCACTCACTCAGCCTGGCATGCTGCACTCAACTGACGCTACTGGCCTGGATCCCACGCCTGGCCAGAGCGAGTCAGGCACAGGGCAGTGAGGGGCGTGTGAGTGAGCATAGGGTCCAGCCACTGTGCAATCAGGCACGCCAGCAGCTGCAGCAGGGTGGGCAGCTCCAGGTGCTGGTGTGGGCACTGGCTCTCTGCAAGGCTGCAGCTGGACCAGGCACACTGCAAGCAGCTTCCACAGCTGGCACTGGAGAATGCAGTATGCCAGGAACCACAGGGCCCCAAAGAGGGAGTTCAACTCAGAAGGGGTGGGGCTCCTGCTTGTCCCTGGCCTGGGGGCTGCAGCTCTTCTCTCCTTCTCTTCCCCCACAGCATGGCAAGCAAGGGGCATGTTTCAGCCCTGTTTGTGTTACACCAGCTCTTTTAGCCTTGCCAGATTCAACGGGTCCCAAGTTCTTGTCCTGTGACCAGGAAGAATGAGGTATGCAGACAAGTGGAGGGTGAGCAAGAGGAAGACGAGCTTTATTGCGTGATACAACAGCTCAGAGGAGACCTGCAGGGGCAGCTCCTTTCCACAGCCAGGGTGTCCCAACAAGTGTTCAGCTCCTAGCACAGAGGAGACCATAGAGGTGGAAAGCTCCTCTCGGCAGGCAGGCCATCCTGTCATCTCTGCAGCTCTCAGCAGAGAGGAGGCCCTGGAGTGGGTAGCTCCTCTGCATCTGGTTGCCCTGATGTCTGCTCAGCTCTGGTTTTTTGGGCCTTATAGGGGAGGAAGTGCACTCCGATTGGTCCATCGGCAGTCATGGGTAAAGGCACCACAAGTTCCCACTCTGGTCTGCAGGACTGGCAGCCCAGCCCCCAGCCTTCAGGACCTCCCTGGCCTGAAGGTGGGGGCCTCACCAGGGACCTGCCCCCTTCCACCCAGGAACTTGTCTGCCTGCTGCTGCCATTCATGGTGCCCAGGCTGTAGGTGCCAAGGGCTGCCTGTAGGCCAGTGCCAAGCTACCCTCAGCACCCCCGTGGCTTCCCTCCTATTCTCGGCGCTCAAAAGTCTGGAGGGGGCTGAGGCAGCAGGGGGCTGGTGTATCAGCACTGCCCTGAGCATGTGCACACCTGGCCAGGCTGTGACAGTGCCCAGGCTCGCCCCGACTTTACTCTGAGATCAGAGTGGACGTTGACAGTAGGGAGAAGCCAGGCAGCAGGAGCAGGCCCTTCCGAACCTGTGAAGGCCGGGGATGGGGCTTCCTGGGCCCCCAAGAGTGCAGAGGTGCCTGGATCCGAAGCCATGGTTTGGGGGGCTGCAGCTGTGCCCAGGAGAGTGCGGCTTCTGTCTGCTCCCGGCTTCCCACAAAAGCACAGGGATGCCTGGGTCTGCAGCCATGATTTGGGCAGCTGCATCTGCGCAGTGGGGTGGGGCTCCTGCCTGCTCCATGGAGCAGGAGGCCTGGATCTGCAGCTGGGACTTGGGTGCGGCTCCCGCCTGCTCTGTGGAGCCGGAGGTCTGGGTCTTCAGCTGTGACTTCAGTGGCTGCAGCTGTGCCCAGGAGAGGGGGGGCCCTATCTGCTCCCGGCCTGAGAGCACAGGGATGCCTAAGTCTGCAGAGAGCTCCCACCCCAACTCGGAAGGGGCGGGGCTCCTGCTTGTCCCTGGCTCCTGCCAGTTCCATGGAGCATGCAGCCCTGGCTGTGCCTCCCTGCTGCAGCTGGCATGATGGCACCAGCCACTCTAGATGGACCATGGTGCCATCACTGAGACCCAGCCTTGACATAGCTGTCAGGACACTCTCTAGTCACACTTGCCTTCCTGCTGCCAATGCCTCCATGGCTCAGGTGGCTGCAGCTCCTTGAGATGTCCCAGTGGGTCCTGGGTGAGCCTATCCAGCTGATGGGCCATGAGGCAACAGGCAAGTGGACAGGACAGCACTGTCCCCCTTCCTCTTCCTCTGCCCCTTCAACTGCAGGCTGGAAAATTCACATGTTACCAGGAAAACAGCCAGCTACCCAGGGCTATTTACCTCAGGGGCCAAACTTCCCCTGGGATGAGATTGCTGGGCTCAGAGAACATGTTGAGCAAACACAGTACTTTCTGTGAGCTGGGTTAGGTTCTAAAAGCCTTACAAAGAGTAACTTAATCATCAGCACAACCAAAGGAAATAGATGTTTGTTTGTTTTTTATCATTGCATTTCGCACATGAAACAGAGGGTAAGTCACTTGCCCAGTGGCACACAGCTCTCAGGTGACAGAGCTGGGATTTGGGTCCAGGCAGGCTCGTACAGACTCGACATCCCAAATTGGCTTCATCCACAGTGACAGAGCAGCAGCGAGGGCTCTAAGACCACCCAGCTCTCCTCCTGGGTATTTTTTCCATCCTACTCATCCCAAAACTTGATCTCACATTGCTCTGTCTCTTTCTCTGCCTCCATGCTTGATGCATTTACTTAATCTTTTGCAGGATGGGTCATTACTTTTTGCAATAGCACACTTAAAGGTAATGACCAAGATAAATTGAAAAGAGAATTCAACAGTATTCATTGTAAGATTGAATGGGATATGAAATATGTAATCAGCACTTATAAGGAATATCACTACATTCTCTTCCTCCTCCTGCCCGTCCTTTTGTTTTGTTTTGTTTTTGTTTCTGTTTTGTTTTGTTTTGCATTAAAACCAGGGAATTTGATGTTGATTCTGGCCTGAATGTTAAGCACATTCTGGATTTTCTACACAGTTCTGACACCACAGGTACTTGTTTCTTTCTCAGAAGGCAGGTGAAGCTCAGCTGTGTGGGGCTGTGCTTGGTGTCAGTGTGGGAAACGTGTGGAAGTCAGCATGGTGTTAGCAGGTTTTACCAGCAGTTTGCTTGGAAAACAGTCTCCGATCTGCACTTGCACGCCCACCACAATGCCTTCTCCCCACGCCTCTGCAGACACCAGGAGGCCAGGGCACAGAGGATGTGCGACTTGTGCTCCTGCCTTGCTGCACAGTCTAAAGACCTCACATGCGTTTTGAATGTTCAACCACTATTAGAGTGAGAAACAGCATCCAAGATGCTTTTACTAAGGAACATTGACAACTGGAAAAACAAATCAAGCTTGGATTCCAGGGAACCGTGTCCATATTTCCTGTTTTATGAATTTTACCATTCACTCTTAAGGCTATTTTTATGTTAGGTTTGAATAACTTGATAAACTATCAAGAGAAAACCATGCAGCATTATGTTCACTGCCAAGTAACATGGACTTAGAGGATGGCACAATTCTTTTTTTTTTTTTTTTTGAGACGGAGTCTTGCTCTGTCACCCAGGCTGGAGTGCAGTGGCCGGATCTCAGCTCACTGCAAGCTCCGCCTCCCGGGTTTACGCCATTCTCCTGCCTCAGCCTCCCGAGTAGCTGGGACTACAGGCGCCTGCCACCTCGCCCGGCTAGTTTTTTTGTATTTTTTAGTAGAGACGGGGTTTCACCGTGTTAGCCGGGATGGTCTCTCGATCTCCTGACCTCGTGATCCGCCCGTCTCGGCCTCCCAAAGTGCTGGGATTACAGGCTTGAGCCACCGCGCCCGGCCGAGGATGGCATAATTCTGTGAAACCACTTCTGGAGTTCAGCATTTAACCGAGCACATTCTCTGGAGTTCAACATTTAACTGAGTGCATTTTACTTACCTGTCACCATCGTGTCGCTTGGAATGTCTTCTATTAGGCATTTCTCCTCACGTTCCCCTGCGTGGAAATAAAAGGCAGTTGAAAGTGGAAAACCAAAACATAAAAGAAATGTTAACATTTGCATTTCTGTTGCTCAAGCCACTTCTGGTACTACTTTCTTTGAAATGGATCCGTTGCAGGTGCCACTGGCTAATGAATGTTTGTATTTCATTGGCTAATTTTGTAAAATTGATTTTTGTGAGAAGTGACACGTGGTGCTGACACTGGGCAGGTACTTGGAGCAAATCCCATGAACAAGATAAAAAGGCATAAGAGTTTGGGGCCTTTCCTAGCTAATGACGCAGAGTTCCTTCTGATCTGCCACTTTGAAAAGATATTGAAGCGTTCTGATGGAGTGAAGGAGAAGCTTCTAATGAATGTGGTGTCAGGAGGATGAGAAATGAGAGATGGGGAGGCAGGTGTAGGCAGGAGGGGAGGGAGGCCGGGTGCGGTGGAGAGGCTAGGTGTTGGGGGGTGAGGCTGGGTGTGGGGGAGGATGCTGGGTGTGGAGGAGCTGGGTATGGTGGGGGAGGCTGGGTGTGTGGGGAGAGGCTGGGTGTGTGGGGAGAGGCTGGGTGTGTTGGGGGAGGCTGGGGGTGTGGGGAGAGGCTGGGGGTGTCGGGGAAGGCTGGGTGTAGAGGGGGATGCTGGGTATTGGGGAGGTGGTGTGGGGGGGATGCTGGGTGTGTGAGGGGAGGCTGGGTGTGTGGAAGTCTGGGTGTATGGGGGGAGTCTGGGTGTGTTGGGGGAGGCTGGGTGTCTAGGGAAAAGCTGGGTGTGTGGGAGGGAGTCTGGGTGTGTGAGGGGAGGCTGGGTTCGTGGGGGGAGGCTGGGTGTGTAGGGGGAGACTGGGTGTGTGGGGGGAGGCTGGGTGTCTAGGGGAAAACTGGGTGTGTGAGGGGAGGCTGGGTGTGTGGGGGGAGTCTGGGTGGGTGGGGGGAGGCTGGGTGTCTAGGAGAAAGCTGGGTGTGTGGGAGGGAGGCTGGGTGTGTGGGGGGAGGCTGGGTGTCTGGGGAGAGGCTGGGTGTGTGGGGGGAGGCTGGGTATGTGGGGGGAAGCTGAATGTGTAGGGGGAGGCCGGGTGCCAGGGGGAGGCTCAGTTGGGGGGAGTCTGGGTGCAGGGGGAGGTGGGTGTGGACCTGTGGGTAGGAGGAAGGGAAGCTGGCTAAAATGGAACCACCTGGACTAGGAAGAGCGAGTGCCCTGAAGAGACTAAGTCTGTTTCCTCATTTTAAAAAGGAATTAAAATCACTTAGTGATCCATTAGGTCTTTTCAGCTGTGACATCCAGTGTTTTCTCTTTAAACCTTTTGTTTAAAAATGTTTGTAGACTCACCAAAAGTTACAAAAATAGTGCAGAGAGGTCCTGTGACTCATCCCTCAGCGCCCCCAGTGCAACATCTTATGTGACTAAGATCACTGCAGGACTGCGTCACGGGGACTTGGCATTTGACGGTGGCAGAGAACAGCTAGCTCGGCTGCAAAGCTCACGTGGTGCTACATTTTTGCACACACTTGTTTTTTGTATGTGAGTGCACCATCATGAGAATGCTTCAGCGAGCCCTAATGAGCACTCTGGAAAGAAGTGGGAAGACGGAAAGAATGCATCGTGTGGTTTGGAGCAAGGGCTGGCAGCCGAGGGCCTGGGCTGTCTGACTACACTGCTTCTCAGGGACGTGAGTGTGGACAAGACGGACCTCCAGGTCGTCACCCATAACGCAGGGGCAGTGCTGCCCCTCAGCATTGTCTCAGGGATTAGACGACACAGGCAGTGTGGGCTTCTCAGCTCTGATCTGGTGCGCAGCGGGCATTTGGTGAAGGGTGTAGCTGTTGCTTTTCTGGTGCCAGGTGGAGCTGTGGCTGGATTCCAAGCGTGGCAAGGGTGACCAGGTACACACTTGCAGCTGTCTTCATCCACGACCTGCCCTTCCTCCTACCTAAACCCAGCTCTGGTTTCAGAGCCCACCTTTTCCTTCCTCCTCAGAGACCTCTCTCCCTTCCCACTGGTCTGTGCCCTCTGCCTCAGTCTCCCCAACAACCAGTGTTTTCCTTTAGATACATTCTGTAGCACAATATTGACAAGCCTAGACTCTGTGGCCACACTGTCTGGGTGTCCCTCCTCTGCCCCTTACCTCCTGTGCAATCCTGGGCAAGTAAGTTCCTTAGTTGTTGTCTGCCTCAGTTTCCTCATCTATACAACTGAGAGAATAAAGAGCCCACTTTATACGGTGGTTGTAAAGACCAAATGATACTCTCTGTGTAAAGTGCTAAGAACAGTCCCTGACACACAGTACACACTGTGTAAGTGTTTGCCAGTGTTATTTCATAGCCTGACATCTTGAAGAGGTTGCTAGATAGGCTAGCTCAATTTCTCCACTTCCACGCACAGCTAAAAAAATCAAAACCGTCTATTCTAGAACATTTTAAGCACATGAAACTAGAGAATTGTGTGATGAGCCCCGAACTAGTTTTATTTAACCAACACACACACACCACACACACACACTTTTAAAGTATGTCAGATCAGAGGCCGTTTTCGCCTATCAGCACTTCAGTATGCATCACTAACTAGTGAGGACCTTGTTAAATGAAACAGTCACCATGCCATAACAACAAGGTTAATAAGAATCTCTTCCTGTCATCCGACACCCAGTTCACAGTCATGTTTCCCTGATGGCCTTAAAAGGTCTTTTTCACAGTTGATTTACTTTGATCAGCATCTAAACAGAATCCACACATGACACTTGGTTGCTATGTCTGTTAAAACTCTTATTTCATAGGGTCTGCCTTCCCCACACCAGTCTCTTTCTTAACCCACTAATTTGTTGGAGGCCCTGGGGCCCTTGCTTGTGGCGGTCGGCATCCCAGGTGTGGGTGAAAGTGTCCTCAGGTGCCGTTGGACTCAGCACACCTTCGCTATGACTGCAAATCTCCGGGGGTTCTTGTTGAGCTCATGTCCTGATCTGGAGGCTGGGACGGGGCCTGGGTACTGATGCTGCTGCTCCAGAGACAGTGCTGGGGAATGGCAAGGGGTCAGCTGGCTCTTCCTCCAGCTTCCCAGATACTGGCGTGTGCACCTAGAGTTGATGAGACTCAGGCTTGGACTTTAAGCTAGAGTCACTGGTGAGTGCCTCCTGGTGCCTCACAATGGAGGCCATGATGTCCAGTTGTCCTGCCTTGAGTGACCACAGCCCGCCAGGGGCGCAGTGCTGTTCCTGCTTGCCCCTTGTCAGGTTCTCTCAGCCTCTGCCTGGCAGTTTTGACATCCACTCTCTCTCGATTCCTCTTTCCTCAGTGGTTGCTACAGGAGAACTTCTCACCAACTAGCTGCTTGCCTTGAAGCAGTTTGCACAGGAAAGGCTGGCCGCGGACTTGGTTCTGGCCCTAGAATTAGCAGTTTTCAAAGGAGTATGTTTGTTCCCTAACAGCTGCCATGTAACCAATGGAGATTCTTTAAAGTATCATTATGAGTTCATGAGTGGTTGGGTACTTAATGCTTTTCTGATATATTGGAGTCATTATTCTTCTTAATACTTAAGTTGCCCAACCTTTGGCCAATGGTGGCCCTTTAGTTTCACTCCTGTGTCTTTTAGACAGAATAACATTCACTCTTTAGTATAAAAAGCGTTCACGTGAGGGGCATTTGCTTCTGCAGATTGTCATTGCCCTGAGCTTTCTCAGAGGACAGATCTTGGAAAGGTTTTATTGTGGGCTTATTTTTAAATTAAAAAATGAGCTCATACTCTCAGGTCCAATCAAAATGTAAGACTGAAGAGTTTTACTTAATTTCACTGAATATATATTTGTATGTCTTGTATGCCAAAAATCTACTTACTGGCATTAATATAATTTATTTGCTTTATCCTTCAATATAGCTATACAGGCCATACCTTGGAGACACTGCGGGTTCAGATCCAGACCACCAATAAAGCAAACATTGCAGTAAATCAAGTCACACAAATGTTTTTGTTTCCCAGTGCATATAAAAGTTGTATTTACACTACACTGTAGTCTATTAAGTGTGTAATAAGCACCGTGTCTACAAAAACAGTGTATGTACTTTAATTAACATACTTCATTGCTAAAAAATGCTAATGATCATCTGAGCCTTCATGGAGTGGTAACCTTTTTGCTGGTGGAGGGTCTTGCCTTGATGTGGACGCTGCTCACTGATCAGGGTGGTGGCTGCTGAAGGTTGTGGTGGCTGAGGCAATGTCTTAAAATAAGACAACAGTGAAGTTTGTCACGTCAATTGATGCTTCCACAAAAGATTCCTCTATAGCATGTGACACTTTAATAGCATTTTACCCACAGTAGAAAGTCTTTCAAAATTGGAGCCAATCCTCTCAAACCCTGCTGCTGCTTTATCAACTACATTTATGGAATATTCTAAACCCTTGGTTTCATTTCAGTGTTCACAGCATCTTCACCAGGACTAGATTCCGTCTCAGTAAACTGCTTTCTTTGCTCATCCATAAGAAGCAACCCCTCATCTGTTCGGCTTTCATCCTGAGATTGCAGTGATTCGGTCCCATCTGCAGGCCCCACTTCTGATTCTAGTTCTCTTGCTGTTTCCACCACATCTGCAGTGACTTCCTCCACTGAAGTCTTCAACTCCTCACAGTCATCCTTGAGGGTTGAGATCAGCTTCTCCTAAACTCCTGTTCATGTTGATATTTTTATGTCTTCCCATGAATCATTAATGTTTTGAATGGCATCTGGAATAGTGAATCCTTTCCAGAAGGTTTTCAATTTACTTGTCCAGATTCATGAGAGGAATCCCTATCTGTGGCAGCTATAGCCTTACAAAATGTATTTCTCAAATAGTAAGACTTGATAATTGAAATTACTCCTTGATCCATGGGCTGCAGAATGGATGTTGTGTTAGCAGGCATGAAAACAACAGTAATCTCCTTATACATCTTCATCAGAGCTCTTGGGTGACCAGCTGTATTGTCAATATTGTCAATGCATAGTAATACTTTGAAATAATCTTTTTTTTTCTGAGCAGTAGATCTCAAAAGTAGGCTTAAAATACTCAGTAAGCCATGCTGTAAACAGATGGCTGTCATCCAGGCCATGTTGGTCCATGTATGGACCATAAGTGGAGTAGGTTTAGCATAATTATTAAGGGCCTTAAGATTTTCCGAATGGTCAATGAGGATTGGAGTCAACTTTAAGTCACCAGCTGCATTACCACCTAACGAGAGAGTTAGCTTGTCTTTTGAAGCTTTGAAGCCAGACACTGGCTTCTCTCTAGCTATGAAAGTTCTAGATGGCATCTTCTTCCAAGAAGGCTGTTTGGTCTACATTGAAAATCCACTGTTTGGTGTAGCCATGTTCATCAATGATCTTAGCTACATCTTCTGGGTAACTTGCTGCAGCTTCTCCATCAGCACCTGCTGCTTCACCTTGTTCTGTTTTTTGGTTTGTTTTGTTTTTTGTTTGTTTTTTTCCTTAAACCTCATGAACCAACCTCTGCTAGTTTCAAACTTTTCTTCTGCAGCTTCCTTACCTCTCTCAGGCTTCACAGAACTGAAGATAAAGCCTTGCTGTGGATTAGGCTTTAACTTAAGGGAATGTTGTGTCTGGGTTGATCTTCTATCTAGACCACTCAAACTTTCTCCATATCAGCAATAAGGTTGTTTCGCTTTATCATTTGTGTGTTTACTGGAGTGGCACTTTTAATGTCCTTCAAGAACTTTTCTTGGCTGGGCACAGTGGCTCATGCCTATAATCCCAACACTTTGAGAGACTGAGGGAGGAGGATTGCTTGAGGCCAGGAGTTTGAGACCAGACCGAGCAACAAAGCAAAACCTTGTCTCAACAAAGAATACATTAAAAAAAAAAATTAACTGGGCGCATGCCTGTAGTCCTAGCTGGTTTGGAGGCTGAAGCAGGAGGATCCCTTGAGCCCAGGAGTTCAAGATTACAGCGAGCTATGATCATGCCACTGCACTCCAGCCTGGGTGACAGAGCAAAACCCTGTCTCAAAAAATAACAATATTTTTTTCTTTGTATTCACAACTTGGCTGACTGTTTGGCACAAGAGGCCTAGCTTTCAGCCTATCTCAGCTTTATGTTAATCATTTCTAGCCTTTGATTTCAAGAGAGAGACGATGGCTTCTCCTTTCACTTGAACACTTAGAGGCCACTGTAGGGTTACTAGGTGGCCTAATTTCAATATTAGTGTTATCTCAGGAAATAGGGAGACTCGAGGAGAGAGAGGGAAATGAGGCAATGGACAGTCATTGGAGTAGTCAGACCACACACAACATTTATCTACTACATTTGCCATCTTACGTGGGTATAGTTGGTGGCATCCTAAAACAGTTTCAACAGTAACAACAAAGATTGCTGATCACAGATCATCATAACAGATATAATAATGATAAAATACATTGACATACTGTGGCAGTTACCAAAGTGTGACACAGAGACATGACGTGAGCACGTTCTGTTGGAAAATGGTGCTGACAGACTTGCTCAGTTCAAGGTTGCCTCAAACCTTCCATTTGTAAAAAACACAATATCTGCAAAGCACAATGAAGCAAAGTACAGTAAAGCGGGGGTGCCTGCAAGAGTTTCAAAAGAGCCACACCAACATTTGCTATTATCAGAAAGACTACTAACTGCCATCTAAGATTTCTTTGCCATTCTCTTTAGTCTTTTCCCAGGGATATATGCACAAAAACACCATTTAAAGTTATTGAAGTAATTACTTTATTTTCATATAAAATATATTTCATTTGTGTCAGTTTGTTTTCAATATTTACAATTTAGTCATTTTGCCTTTTTAAATTTCACTTTATTTTTATTTTTAATTATGCAAAACATTTACATGGCTCAAAAATAAAATTATATGCAAGAAAAGAAAACATGAGACAAAATAAAAATGAAAATGGTAGATTTAAATCTGACGATATCAATTAAGTCCATTAGATATGAATGACATAAAGGCAGAGATTATCAGACCAGTAAAGAAGCAAGACCCAAATAAATATCGTCTATAAGAAATTGACTTTTAAAAAGATATTCCTTGCAAACTCTAATCCAAGAAGTTGGAGTGCCAATATTAGTGTCGGGCAAGGTAGACTTTTAAATAAAAGATTACCGGAGATAAAGGAGCATTTCATAATATAAATGGGAACTACCTTAAATATATATGTACCTTAATAATAAAGCTTCCAAATTCATGAAACAAAAATTGCCAGAATTGAAGGAGAAAGAGCTACATCTACAATTATAGTTGGAGATGTCAGCAATTCTCTTAATAATAGAACAAATAAAGGGAAATCAGTAGCGATAGTGAAGACCTGAACAATGCCATCAACCAATATGACCCAACTTGAGCAAACTAACATTAATGAAACGCCACACTCGGGCATGACAAGATGCACAGGGAATATTTGCCAAGATTAGGTCTTAACTTGGAGCTATAAAATAGTATTGATAAATTTACAAGGGTTGAAATCATACAGAATATGTTCCTAACCATAATATTGAATTAGAAATCAGTAATAAAACATATATGAGAAATTCCAAATATTTAGAAATTAATCACAGTTTTAAATCATGTATCAGAGAAGATGTCACAGGGAAGATAGGAAGTATTTTAATTGAATTGCAATGAAAATATATTTCATTTGTGGTATGTAGCTAAAACAACTTTTAAAGGGAAATTTCTACCTTTAAATACCTATATTGAGTTTGTGACCAGCCTGGGCAATGTAGTAAGACACTATCTCTATTTTAAAAATTTAAAAATTAGCCAGGCATGGTGACATGTGCCTGTAGTCCCAGCTACTTGGGAGGCTGAGACAGGAGAATCACTTGAACCCGGGAGGCAGAGGTTGCAGTGAGCCGAGATCATACCACCACACTCCAGCCTGGGCAACAGAGTGAGACTCTGTCTCCACAAAAAAGAAAAAAAAAGCTTATATTAGAAAAGAAGAAAAGTTTAAAATCCGTGACCTAAACTTCTACCTTAATAAACTACAAAAGGAAAAGCAAATTAAACCCAAAGTAAGAAGGAAGGAAATGTTAAAGATTGATGGAAGAAAAAGTAAAAGTAAAGTGTGGAAGTCACTGAAACAAAATGAGCAAACACTAGAGAAAGCTAATGAAACCAAAACTGGTTCTTTGAAAGATCAATAAAATTGGTAAGTCTGATCAGGGGAGAAGGAGAAAAACCACAAGTTACCAATATCAGAATGAAAGGGGATATCGTTATAAATTCTACAGATAATAAGAGGATAATAAAGAAATGTTATGCGCCGGTGTAGCTCATGTCTGTAATCTCAGCATTTCAGGAGTCTAAGGAAGATGGATATCACTTGAGTTTAGGAGTTCGAGACCAGCCTGGACATCGTAGTGAGACCTTGTTGCTACAAAACAATAAAAAATCAGCTGGGTGTGGTGGGGGGTACCTGTAGTCCCAGCTACTCAGGAGACTAAGGTGGGAGGATGGCTTGAACCCAGGAGGCTGAGACTGCAGTAAACAGTGACTGTGCCACTGCACTCCAGCCTGACGACAGAGGGAGACCCTGTCTTAAAAGAATTTTGTGAATGAGTCATGCCAATACATTTGACAATTTAGATGAAATAGACAAATTCTTCAAAAGCACAAATTACAAAAACTTTCACAAGAAAAAAATTTTTAATAGCCTAATAAATTCAATCTAATAAAGAATCGAATAAATTTTATTTATAATTAAAAACTCCTCCCACAAAGAAAATTCTAGGCCCAATGGCCTCACTAGTGAATTCTGTGAAATATTCTATAAAAACGTTTATGAAAAAGTTAATACCCGTTTTTCACAAAGAGAAGAGAGCACTTGGATTCATTTTATGAGGTCAGCATTATCCTGTACCAAAATTATACTATGACATTATAGAATCTGGTAATAAATGTATTTGGAACTGACAATTCCCTGTGCTTTTAAAGATTCTGTGGTTACAAATTTGCCCAGTTATTTGAATTTGGGTGTTTTTTTTTTTTTTTTTTGAGATGGAGTCTCACTCTGTTGCCCAGGCTGGGGTGCAATGGTGCAATCTCAGCTCGCTGCAACCTGCTTCCTGGGTTCAAGCGATTCTCCTGCCTCAG